CGTCGTTTGATCGTTCTAGGTGGCGTGGGGAAGGGGGCAGCTCCCCCCCACGCCCTATACTAAATCCGCCACTGCTGAGTACTTTCTATGCTTTAAGTCAAGTTCTTTAGCAAACTTAAAAGTTATTTAAAATTATCCTCATCACCAATTCATCATCAGTTCTCTAAACCTATCATTTACTAGTATTCGTGGTCTTTAAAGTAATTTTTCTTTTGTTGAGTCTTATCTTTTGCAAAGTTCACTAAACTTACTCTTTGTGAGACTAATTTGAGATGAGCTGTCTCATCTTATAATCTTAGTGCTGATCGTTATCTTCCTTTAAATCATAAAGACTCTAATAGTTACATACGTAGTCTGTGCATTTACATTCGTAAGAATTCACCTATTTGTCGGGAAACTAGCTTTGAATCCACAGACTTATATTTTATGTGCTTTTATTTTGCACCACTTCACTCTATTGCCCTTCTCTTTGTTCTATATTGCTCTCCTTCATCTCAAGACTTCACTCTTTTTGATGCTATTTTTGATCATATTGACCTAACCCTCTCTCTTTATCCATCAGCCAATATCGTCGTTGTTGGTGACTTTAATACTCATCACACTAAATGGCTTGGCTTTGGTTTCAGTGACTCTGCTGGCGTTAAGGCCCTAAACTTTTATCTTTCTTAATCTAACTCAAATAATTAACTTTCCAACTTGCCTTCCAGACAATCCTAATCATTTACCATCTCTACTCAACTATATCTCAATGTCTTGTTTCTGATCCTAGTCAGTGCTTAGTTTCTCCTCATTCGCCTTTAGGTGCTTCTGATCACGGTTTAATTTCTCTGAAACTATTATCTCATTCTTCTTTATCATCTCAATCCCCCTATCATCATACCACTTGCAACTACCTTAAAGCTGACTGGGACTCTTTCCGTGAATTTCTTCGTGATGGCCCCTGGCTAGAAATCTTTCGTCTTCCTGTTGACAAATGTGCTTCTTACATAACTTCGTGGATTCAGGCTGGCATGGAATCCTTTATTCCCTCTCGACGATTCCAGGTCAAGCCTCACTCTTCTCCATGATTTTCCTCACATTGTGCTGCTGCAATTGCTAATCGAAACCATTACTTCCATATCTATCAGCAAAACAATTCTCCAGAAAACAGACGTCTGTTTATTACTGCTTGGAACCATTGTAAAAGGGTTTTGTCTAACAACCTCTATTCTCAGATCATGAAATCTTGTATTTCATCACAAAAATTAGGCTCTCGTGACTTCTGGAGAATCTTTAATAGTATCAATAATAAGGGCAAGTCTGTAATTCCACCTCTTTTGTACGGTTTAGACTTTGTTACCTCACCTAAAGACAAAGCTGAATTGTTTGCCAAGAACTTTTCATCAATATCATCTCTGGATTCGACTAGTTGCGTTCTACCTGATATAGCCGTCAAACAGGTTGATCCACTGCTCGACATCCGTTATACTCCAGCTTCTGCATCTAAAGTGATTTCCTGCTTAGACTCTTCTACAGCTTGTGGTCGGGACAGCATACCTGATATAGTTTTGCAGAAGTGTTCTTCGGAGCTGTCGTCTATACATTCAAAACTATTTAACAAGTACTTATCTGAGTCTTGTTTTCCAGCCTGCTGAAAAACTGCATCTGTTATCCCTATTTTCAAAAATTCTAGAGAGCTATTTGATTCGTTTAACTACCGTCCCATTAGTCATTTTCCTATCATAAGCAATTTTTTTTAGTCTTTAACAAACACCTAATCTCTCACCTTGAATCTAATAACTACTTTTTGATCATCAACATAGACTTCGTTCTTCTTGTTCTATAGCTGATTTGCTAATAGTAATAACCGATAGGTTTTATCGTGCATTAGATAGAAGTGGAGAGGTTAAGGTTATCTAAAGTTTTTGATAAAGTTTGGCATGCTGGTCTTTTCTATAAGCTTTCTTCTTATGGTGTATCTGGTAACATGATATACGACCCCATTAAAATTTCGGAATCATTTAATTCATTCTTTGTTTCAGTTACGGAAGATTTTCAGAATAAGATCCACTTATCCAATACTGACTTTAATAAATATCTTAAAAATCCTAATCTTAATTCAATGTTCATAAAACCTACAGACAAAAACGAAGTATTATCGATTATTCATTCTCTTAATGACAGCAAGGCTTCGGGACCTAACAACATCATAATACCTATTTTTAAAGCTCTTGCAAATGATATCTCTCCTGTACTTTCTGAACTATTTAATCTGTCATTCACAACCGGTGTATTCCCTGATATTTTAAAAGCTGCTTCTGTTATCCCAATTCATAAAAAAGACTCAAAACTTGAATGTAATAACTACAGACCAATTTCATTATTATCAAATGTCAGCAAACTTTTAGAAAAACTTATGTATTCTCGTATTTACAACTTTTTGAATAATTCTGCTTGTTTTCATATTCGACAATTTGGGTTTCGCTTAAATCACTCCACTTCTCACGCTCTTATTAGCATTACTGAAATGGTTCGTGGTGCAATTGACAGTGGTTCTTTTGCTTGTGATGTATTTATAGATCTTCAAAAAGCTTTTGATACGGTTGAACACAACATTCTAATAAAAAAGTTAAACTACTACGGAATACGTGGTATTGCTAATCATTGGTTTTCTTCATATATTACGGATCGCACTCAGTTTATTTCAATTAATGGATTTGAATCCACAAATAAAGTTATTAAATATGGCGTTCCACAAGGTTCCGTTCTTGGATCGTTGTTGTTCTTATTATATATAAATGATTTATTTTGTTCATTAAAAAATTCTATGATACATCATTATGCTGACGATACCAATCTTTTATATATCAACAAATCCCTCACGACTCTTTGTAAAAAAGTTAATCAAGATCTTCATTGCTTATGTAACTGGTTAAATAGTAACCGTATTTCCTTGAATGTCAATAAAACTGAATACATTATTTTTCATTCCCCTCAAAAAACTATTGATCATATTAAAATTAAAATTAACGGTAAAAAACTTTTTCCATCAAAATATATAAAGTATCTTGGAAAATATCTTGATGAAAACCTATCTTGGTATAGTCAACTGTATCATCTAAAAAAAAACTTACACGAGCTAACAGTATGCTTTCTCTAATTCGTTACTATGTTCCTATCCAAACACTTCGAATGATTTATTTTTCTTTATTCTCTTCTCACCTGTGCTATTGTTGTATTGTTTGGGGTCAAAAGAGAAACTTAATAACATTGCTAGTTTACAACGCGGATAAGATATCAATTTTAAATAAGTCAGATAAACTGGTTGACTATATTATAATGGAGTTATAAACAAAGCATTGAGAGCTTTAAAGAACAAGGCAGCAATCAATTCAAGAAGAATACTGATTGCTGTCTCACTAACAAAAGTAAAGAAAAAATGTAAAAAAAGCTATTAGCTATGACAAGATGTTTATCATTAAAAAAATAATCATAAAATGGTAATCATGGAACACAATTTTTATAAACTTTTATTTCATTTATTTAGTTTTATGTAGTTTTTATAAGCATGGTATCAATCTGAGCAGGGTGTCTAGTTAAGTATCGGTTTATTATTAGAATACTTCATTCAGTTTAATTTAAGGGTTTAGAAACAAGATAATGTATCCTAAATAGATGTAGAACATATAATTTCAATTTTTGGCTATCTGGCATGATTTAAGCTCAACGGGTTTAACTAGGATCTAGTTTTTAGTAAATTTAATTAGGTATGTGTCTTTAGGTCGATTAGGCCGCTTTGTAATAATTCATTAGACCGTTTTGTAATAATCAGGTATTTTTCTTGGGCGCCCGTACCGTTGTAACGTTACTTTAAAAAGTCTGGGTTCATCCCTTTTGTTTGTAAACCAGGTAATGTGGGTTCTTAATGTACTTTTAATATACTGTTTTATTATTAGTTGCTGTTAAGTTCAATCGAAGCACAGAAGTTGCACAAAAAACGAAATAGAAATGGAGTTTTTGTTATGGTTTTCAAAGTCGTTGGATTGTGTGAGTTACAGCCGATTATATTCTCCGAAATACGCTACCAACGATAATTCACCTGACTTGGACGCTATATTTGTTACCCCGTTTAAAAAACGTTTCTTTGTACTTAGTGGTTTGCTTTTATATATAAAAAAAACAACTTATTCTGTTATTTATTATCTCTACCTTTTATGGCTGAATTATGAGAATAAAATCTGGGAATCTTATAAGTTGCCCAGTGAATAGTCTGGGACCCATTTAAGCCCTATTTGCGTATCCGGCGAGGATAATAAATGATTACCCATTTGGATCCAGTCGCTGCGCACATATGGTCCCCCTGCTTATTGTTTGGCTAAATGACTTCTTACCCTAAGTATTGTAAAATTTACATGTGAATTGTCAATCGCAGCAACTAGGTATTTTAACTTTTTTTTACGCTTGAGAACATATTATTTTTCATCGTCGCTTTTTCATCGTCAAAAGAAATGCGGAATGTGTTTACACTTTAAAATCAAACTAATAGAAAACGTTGTTTGGTGTTTTCTTTTGTGTAATTGTGCAACTTTTTTGATAGTGTGACACTACCAGTCTTGTAGAGCCTGAGCCGTGGAGCCGCTGTTTTTTAGAGGAGCCGCAAAAATGTAGCGGCTCCTGAGTTTTTTTTCAAATATGCAAACTTTACTGTTTAATTAAGCAAGAGATTGATGTTTGACAAAAAAGAATTTAAAAAAAAAAAAAAAATTCAAAGGTGTAATTATTGCACAAAAAATTCGGAAGCCGTGCCAGAGCCGTATATTTGTTAGGAGCCGAAGTAGAACCGTGAAAAAAACTTTCTGCTCCCCGCCGTGATAAAAAACTCGCAACTCTACAATCCCAGACACTACTATGCAAGTATATAAAAAAGAACTCCTTTTAAATTTCCTATTTTTTTTAGATGTTTTGCAGTTTATGAGCTATGAGCTCATTGTTAGATGCTATACAGACATACGAAAAAGAAACAATTACAAAGTATCGTGTCGCAAAGGAATCAAAAGATTTTTCCAAAGATGGTAAGCTCAAATAAATAAAGTTTATTTCTGACCTAGATGCGATATATTTAAAATGACTATTATTAGATTAGCAGCCGTGGCGCAGTGGTTAGAGCATAGAACTCGTAACAAAGGTTGCGGGTTCGATACCGCTCGAAGCACTTAAACGTTATTGGTGAAGTTGGAAACGGAGAGCCAACTTAATAAATGCTATTCTCCATGTGGCGGTGCTTTGTGACAAGACCATTAGGACTTAGAGCACCTAAATAATTGAAAAAAAAAAAAAAACTATGACATAAACGTGCTGGTATGTCACATAATTCATTAAATGAATATTTTATGTTTTAAGTTACATATATTAACGTTGTGGGAGACAACATGGAATGCATCCAAAAATATTTTGTTTAATTTTTTTATTTAATCTGTTTAGTTTCCCTGATTGACATTTTAAATTCATCAAAGAATTTACCAAAACCATGCTGGGAATTTTGTGGGGCAAGTGATAGATTACCAATTCCTTATAGTGGGCACTCTTATATATTGCTTGGAAAGCGAATTTATCACTGCCATCAAGGTAAAGATATTGATGCTAAAAAAAAAGAAAGATACCGAATGGAAAATGATGCTCTTTGTATGAGTGATCACGTGTACAAAAAATCGCTTAAGTACACGCAACCGACAAAAAAAATGGATTGCCCTGTGTCTTTTTCTGTAAAAAAAATCATGATTTTTTATGAAATTTAATTGCCTAAAAACAATAAGTATAATCGAACTAACGCAGGAACGCAGTTAAAAGAACAGTTTATAGTAGCAAGATCAAAAAATTCTCCTCAAATCGGACAACTTATTTATTTGTTGAAGTGGTCTACTGAACCACATGAAAATCATAAATTGGTGAAGCAGCTGGTTTGATAGAACCGTTAGACAAAAGAGTAAATGATTTTTTACGAGAACAGATAAGAAGTGGTTGTAAGGGCATAAGAGATTTAGAGAGTAGAGCTGAAGGATATGTTAATCTAGTTATTTTACCGGCTTTTAGCGACAACGATTTTCACCGACGCCCATATACACCTTCTCGAAGAAAACTTAGAAATATTATTATATCCGAAAAGCTGAAAAATCGATATGCCAAAGTAGGCCAAATAAATGTTGAACCAACTTGTAACAGATAAATGGTCTAAATGGGGTGACATATGGTTTGAGGGTTTAAGCATGCGCATCGAAGCACAAACAGTGGAAAACGACATAGATTTGCAAAGTGACGAAGAGGTCGAAAAAGTAATTAAAAATCTTGCAACTCATAATACAGATGATAAAATGATTTTTGTTTATCAGTCTGAAAAAATGAAACGCTTGTATCGAAGATACAAGCGTTTCATTTTTTCATACAGCCTCCTCGTCTGTAGTTGCCTTCTCGGCCTTGAGGAAGTGAAGTATAATTAAAAAAAAAAAAAAAAATATGCAGAGCATTTTATATGTTTAGATGCAACATATAAAACTACAAAGTATTCCTTGCCTTTATTTCTTTTTAGTTGTCAGGACTAATGTAAATTTCCAAGTGGTTGCGATTTTTGTGTTGCAGGAAGAGACGCAACTCATGATCATAAAAGCTTTGACATTAATAAAATCATGGAATCTTGATATTGAGCCTAAATATGCAATGTTTGACTTTGACGAAGAAGAGATTTATTCGCTAGAATAAGTTTTTCCTAAAATTAAGGTCTATTTATGCGACTTTCATCGTGAGCAATGTTGGCACCGTTGGATTTCAAAATCAGATAATGGGGTGCAAAATATTGCTCAACAGGTTAAAATATACTTGCGTCGTATAGCGCATTCAGAAAATGTAATAGAATGTCGAAAAGCTACGTCCGAGTTCTTATCTTGGGAATTCTGTAAAGACAAACTTCTAAAATGCTAATTTTTTATTTTGTAAATAATTATATTAGCAATGTTTAATAAGGTGTTGTTGTTAAAAGTTTATTACTTTTATAACTCTATGTTTTAATTTAGTTTTTGTTATTGTCGTAGAGCTGTTATACGCTTTTTTTATATAGTGTGTATATATTGACTACAAGTGTTATATTACATAACTAGAATTTACGGAACGTGGTTACCAGAGATAAAAAGATGGTGTCTGGCTTATAGACCTGATGACATGATGTTTAATAATACCAATAATGGCACTGAGCGATTAAACGAGGATCTAAAATACGACGACCTTGCTAACTACAAATATTGCTCACTCAGTGAGATGCTTACAGTTGTTATTAAAAACTTCATACCAAAGCATTATCGTAAATACGTGGAGTTGAACGTAAGGTACAGTGAAGGTTACAAAAAATATAATAATGGAGTGCCGTCGTATTTTCAAAATCGCCCAAAACAACTTGTAAATATTTTATTGAATAACGAAAGTAAAGTAACATCTTCGATAGTAAATTCAGATAAAAGAATAGACCCGATAACATTCGGGGTCAATAGTTCCGAAGTTAAAACTAATAATATTAAAGATTTTATTGTGTGCGTAGGTAACGAGGATAAGTTTTGTTCCTGTTCGTGTTTAGATTATCATCGTCATCGAATAATTTGTAAACATTTTTTTGCCGTGTTTAAATCTGGAATGTCGACATTTGAAAATCTTACTACTAAGTTTCTCGATCATAATTGGTCCGTTCTGGATCCCGAAATTTTTGTTAACTCGTCAAAGAAAGAAAGTCAATGTAATACAAAACCAACTGAGAACAAAAACGAGCAGCAGATAGACGATGAACTAAATAGTATTTCTAATGACAACAATATTTTTGACTTACAAACCAACAATTTTTATAATAAAGATAAGAGTAAACAATTAATTAACAAGCATTACGTGAATGACTTCAAAACACGCCAACCAATTTCAAAATGCTATCAAATCGATTTGTGCTCTAAATTAAAAAGATTAATGGATTTAACCTATCTTGTTAAAGATGAAAATATTTTGGATCATATGACTTAGATACCATTACAGCGTTAATATTAAAAAATCTCAGTCAACCATCAGGATTAATAAAAAGGGACTCTCTATAAAAAAACTTAAATCAAAAACCAGTTTAACATCGAAATCTATTTTAAAACCAAAAAGTAACTCGTCTTCTATAAATTTATTCGCCAGAAAAAAGAAGCATCCGTTTAGTGGAAGGTGTGGGCAGACAGCTGAAATGATGAAACAATGTTACAGAGCAAATCTGGAGCTCCTCTGACTCCTCTGATCAAGAGGACATCATCATTGAAATTTGCGAAGAAGAAAAACAGCATGTTGAAGATAGAAACTGGAGAAGAAGAGTTGGTAATTACTCAATTAAAAAAGGGGAGACCGGGAGAACTTAAGTTTTATTGATTTCATTCAATATTCGACTCCAATATGGAAAAAGTAATACAAAGTGGTGATTGGTTAACCTGTAATGAAACTAATCATGCTCAACTTTTGCTCCACAAGCAATTTCCTTTTGCGGAAGACTTGGAAGATACTGGGTTAGGTCCTTTGCTTAAAATGTCGAAGCTAAAGTCAAGCAGGATACAAATAATCTACAGTAACAACCATTGGTTAACATTTGCGGCAGAAACATTGAATAATATTAAAGTTTTTGACTCCTTATGTAGTAATCCTTTACACCATACCTCAATTAAACAAACTTGTCATGTTGTAAACTGCAATGAATCCATACTACGTATTTTAATTGAGCCTACACAACATCAACAAAATGGTTCAGATTGCGGCTTATTTGCGATAGCATATGCAACAGATATTCTCTTTGGAATAAATCCAGTTGATTCAAACTATGACCTTACTAAAATGCGGGCACATCTAGTTGATTGTTTTCGACAAAATTTAATGAGTACTTTTCCACAAGCTTTGTTTAGTAAACGAATTAAACGAGGAAGACAAAAAATAGTCCTTCAAGATATTTTCTGTTCATGTAGGATGTCTTTCTTTGATTCTGACGTCGAGACAGACAAAGGCCTCTTCATGGCACAGTGCTTAAATTGCAGTGAATGGTTCCATAAAAGATGTCAAAACATACCAACAAATATATTCAAAAATAAGAATTATGGCGATTATTGGAAGTGCTCTAGATGTCAATAAATATTTTAAATTGAAAAAAATTGTAAAAAAAAATTGTATTATTATACAACTTTATTATATAAAATTATAATCATAACTGTATAATAACCAGGCGCGCAGAAATAGGGGCCTAAGGGACAACTTTTCTCGGGTGCCAGATGTCCAAGAGGCGCCAAAAAAAAATGCTTAAAAAATGGGTTTGATTGATAATATATGAAAATCTAGAAAAATAGGAGCGTCAATCATGGTTCATGTTCCAGACGGTGTTCGGGGTCTCTGTATAACTGTATAGCTACAACTACTCGCTTAAGCGGTATTGATGTCAAACTCAGAACGTTATGAGTTAAAAGCAGTTTTTTAACTCATAACACAAAAAAAAGTTCTAATAATATTTTTAAAATAATATTTGAAATGAATATTTTCTAATGAAATAAAAGCTAAAATAAATTATGTAAACATTTAAAAAGAAAATATTCGTTATAATAAAACCACCTATATATAGCCACCACCAAATCCTGGCCACAAAAAAAGAAGTTTTTTGCCTTAAATATTGAGTTAGTGGCTTTCCAAGTTTTTAAAAATGAAAGTATAATCCAACTTTTATAATTGGAACCTCAGTTTGTTACATAAGATTAATGCAACGTTATTTTATCTGAGTTTGAAAATTTTAGTAAGCTTTAAAATCTATTGTTTGTTTACCTTTTAAAATAAGAAATTTATAAAAGTAAGAATTTATGCAGAACTTCTTTACTAAACTCTTTACAATAAATTTGTTTTAAATTTAATTTAAATTTAAAAATGTTATCACTACTTTTACTTCGTAAAACGTAATGGCCAGGAATAAGTTCGCAATGGCCATGTTTTGTATCTCTGGCCATGATTTGGTGTTTTTTACGCCTTTTTATTACTAATTTATTAACAAAAATTACGAAACTTGTCATAACTTGTATCTCAAGAGGATTTTTAAGAGTTTAGAAATATTTTTAAGAATCGAAGCCATTTGCGGTAACATATGACGCAGTTTAAAATTAGGCGGCCAGGAATTGATGGTTTTACCCTAAAAAAATTATTTAAAATTAGAGACCATTATTTTAAGCAGTATATAGTGCATTTTTGGTTTTTAGTATATAGTGCATTTTTAGTATATAGTGCATTCAGTATATAGTGCATTTTTGGTTTTAAACATTGCTCATTGTTATTCTATATTTATATTAAACGTTATTTAAGTGTAAGGTAACGTTAATAATGCTTCAACGTCATTTAGAAAACTAAATATTTACAATTGTTTTTATCTCGCTTCCTTTTTAATCTTTTATCTACCTTGCTATTATAAATACGCAAATAAAAATAATCGTTCCGAATGGGATATGATCTAAACACAACCTAAAAAAACTGGCCTCTTAATTTTTTACGGAAAATGCAACAAATCAGGCCGTGTAATGTAAAAAAAAAGAAGAATTTAACATTTATAAATAAGTATACTAATTGTTTGCTTACTTAAACGCGCGTTAAGCTT